TCTTTTTTCTTTTTTCTTTTTCTTCTTACTTCTTCTCTTCCTTCCTTCTCTTCTTCTCTTCTCTAATCTTCTTTTTTTTTTCTTCCTTTTATTTCGATTCTTTCATCTCTCACTTTTTCTTCTTGTTTCTCTTTCGTTCGCATCGAAAAACATCCAATGCCAAATTCAAATAATAGAAAAATTAATAACGTTTTTTAAGTACATATGTTTTTATATTTTGAATGAATCCACGTTTTACAAGGATCATGAAAACTTTCGAGTATCATAAGAACAAGGCATTAACACTTTCCTCACGATCTTTAATAACAGCTTCCAAAGGCATTTCAGTAAGGTAGTTCGTAAAGGACGATCGAAGACTGAGTAAACGTGGAACTTGCCAATGACGAAACTAAACTCGACCTCGAACTTCACCTCTCACCTATTTTCGATGTGTCTCTTCGATCACTTAGAAAATTATTTTTATATTATTATGAACGTTTCCGTTCTTTGGATCAAATCGGATCTATGTCTTTTATGAAACACGATCGCATTGTCTACGTGCGATGAATAATATCGACGATTTATCTACGACAATATCGTATATAACATTGAAAATTCTATCTGGGATGTATGAACAAAAAAAAGAAAAAAAAAAAAAAAGAAAAAAAAAACAAGAAAAAGAAGAAGAAGAAATAAAAAGCAGAAAATTCAAGAAAACGAAAGAAGATATACGTGAATACATTTGTCATACTACAATCTAATTGTTATAAAAATCAAAGCGATAAAAAATTATAAATATAAACACAAATCTAATGGATCTAACATAATCGTTTGAATGATTAGTACCTATGTATATAATAAGCATTTATAAATCTAATCATTAAATTATTCGTTGATATTTTCACTCAAACTCGTCCATGGAAAAGTAAGAAAAATTTTTATTATACGTACAAATCACCGAACAAAATTAATGCTTACCTATAATTTATTTCCATAACGATTAGGAATAATTCTACTCTCATTATATATTGAACAATATACTCGTACCCTCGTAAACCGTTCGAGGGGAGGCTTAATAACTATGCAGAAGAACGGCACGCGCCATACTTAATTGTCCCCTTTCCCCTTCCCTTATCCCATCCCATTCGATTCCATCCCCAGCCGCACCCCCTTCTCGCTTGCTCGCGCCAACTTGGTTGACGCTTACATAAATAGTTCGGTCGACACGTAGTATGCTATCGTAAAAGAGTATGGTTGATGAGGATGAGAAAAGGTAAAGTGTATACGTGTATATGTTTACTGTGTGTATGCATGTGTATGTGTGTGTATAAAGTTGAGGGGAGGGTGGGAGTATATGAAAGAGAAAGAGAGAGAAAGAGAGAGATAAAGATAGACAAAGACAAAGAGAGTAGATATCGTCCACGTTCTATGCCCATACATGCATATACATACAGGTATATAGTTACGTACTGACGTATATATGCGGTAAAGTTGCACGTACATATATACATAGAAGTAAGACCGTGCAGACAGGAGTCAGACATACAGGAGAAGCATTAGTCACGTAAAGAGAGGCTGCTCGACGTTACTCCGTGAGTAGCAAGCACGGTGGCAGTTGGTGACAGGTTATTAGTCTGCCGTAGATTTGCTCGTGAGAATAATAGCCTAGGTGTGACATTGCCCTAGTGTTAGACCCGTGCCAGGGAGTCGTCTTCCGTCTCTCTATCTCTTTCTCTTTCTCTCTCTTTCTCTATTTCGCTCTCTCGCTCTTTTCCATCGTTTAGAGACCTATACACACGTATAAATACGCATGTATAAATACATGCATACATACATACATACATATATACATACATGTATGCACATATATATATATATGTATAAGTACGTATACGTACAACTAGCATATATTTGTTGTCCCTCTTGATTCCTCTTGGCTCGAATCGTTTGAAAGCGTCAGTGGTAAGCAACGTTATTGTCGTAATCTAGGTCTAGGTGCCGCCGCCATTGGTGGCTTGTCCTTTACAGGTGTCGTGTACCTATTGTTCTTCAATGAAATCTCGGTTTTCTCAGTCACGGAACGATTCGGTCGAGCGCTCGGTTAAAAGCACAGCTGGAAAGAGAAGAAGAAGAAGGAGAAGAAAGAGGAGGAGAAGGAGTAGGAGAAAGATCGACAAAATCTTTCCGGTTGCGAATACCAAGCGTACCCGTATTTATACCTTTGCTCCTTCTCTTATCCCTTCTTTATTTTTTTATCTTTATCAATTTTACTCATTATTACACATTTTTTTTATGATATTTCGATTTTGCATGTAAACACAGACATTTTATTCAAAATATTAGCTTGTCCGGAAAGTTTGTGCCTATTTGTGGTAGGTAACGTAATAACAAAATCGACATGAATTTTCCGGACAATCCAATACTATAACGAACGTTTATAATATAAAAGTATTTATCATGAACGTCTATAGGATTATTCAAAAACAAGTGTTACAAAACAAGATTATTATCGTTATTAATTAAATGATGTAGAATATTTTTAACGAGAATTTTGATATAGGTGAACCAAATATATATATACACACACACACACATATATATATACATATATATGTATTGAAGTGATCGATGACCAACTTTCGGACCCCGAGGCTCTAGGTATAGACATTTTTTTATTTCCTATTCCGGTACCACCTCTCAACGAGAAAAGAATGGAAAGATGGACGTGATTTAGGGTATCGTTAATCGAGCGTGACTGATCGGGTGTTAAAGAGGCTTTAGTCATTGAGTGTGTGGGAAGGAAGTGCTCGGAGAGGGGCGGAAGGAGGAGAGGTTGCGTCTTCTTTTCGTTCTTTCGGTTAGTCTTCCTTGTTTGTTGGCTGCCTCGAAAGAATTGGCACGCGCCCAACCGTTCCTGCATTATATGGAGGCTTTTGCCGGTAGGCGGTCCGTAAAGTATATGTATTACGTGTTTGAAAGAGGGGGGACTGGTGTTGCACGAGGTCGACCAGAGTAGGTACTACGTACTAAACAAATCCACGAGAAAGCTTTTGCTTTGCACGCTCTTGTATGGTTGTATATGTGTATGTGTGTGTATATCCCTATGTAGGTATTATGTATTTGTCGCACGCGTACACATTTCCTCTCTCTTTCTCTCTCTCTCTCTCTCTCTCTCTCTCTCTCTCTCGTTCAGTCATACGTGTACACATGGTCGCGGCAGGTCCGCGTGTAGCTGCTGCTTCCGTCGACGCTGATGTAATGGGTCTCGACGTTAGTGGTTGTGTCGGTGGTGATGTTGGTGGTGGTGGTTTGTCGGTCGGGTCAGGTTCACAGAAGCCATTCACACTTCGCACTACGGCATAAAGAAGCGCCAGGCGCCTAGAGGCAATAAAGTAGGTAGTTGGTACGGGTAGGGGAGAGGAACGGCACATCGGCGCGACGTGGAAAACGGTAGGGGGTTGCCTCTTTCCCACTCTCTTCCCTCTCTTTCTCTCTCACTCGCTTACTCACTCTATGTATCTATCTATCTCTATCTCTCTTTCTTTACAGTACCGTGGAGGATGAGAAGAGGGAAGGAGGACAGTGGGAATTTCAGGGTCGTAGGGAGATAATGCTTCCCTCTCTCTCTCTCTCTCTCTCTCTCTCTCTCTCTCTCTCTCTCTCTCTCTCTATCTCTCTCTTCGTTCTGCATGGCACTGAATGGAACGGATCGCGAGGTATGCTTCGTGTCGGTTTCCTAGGGCTACCCTATACTTAGAGGTCGATGAACTATCTCTCTCCGAAGAAGTTTCGACGATTTATTAACTCGATTGTTTTCCATTTCTTTCCCATCGCCTCACACAGTTCTTTCCCACAGAGGAGAATGATATCCTTTTTCTTCTTTTTTCTTTTCCTTTTCTTCTTTTTTTTTTTTTTTTTTTTTTTAATTACAATGAGAACCAAAAAGAAAAAGAAATAAGAAAAATTTACTCTATACGTGAACGTATAATCGCGTAATAACGCGTATACGTATGTCTCATCCATAGGGTGTACGCAATTATTCAGTATTCGTAAGAAGAATAGAAGATAAGATATTTAATGATTAATTCAAAATTGAACGACCTGTAATCGATCGTCGAATACTCGGTTACTTACTGATTCACTCACTCACTTATTTACTTACTTACTTACTTACTTACTTACTTACTTACTTACTTACTTACTTACTTACTTACTTACTTACGTTGAGAATAGTTTGAAAATGTTAAAGTCAAGATGGTATATATCAGCTGACTGGTACCGTTTCTAAGATGCACTCATTCATCCCCGCTCCAATCTACCTACCCTTCCTTCATTCACACGTGGCCTCTCCTATTCGCCCATTGACGTGCCTCCGTTTTCCATCTTCCTTGCACTCACTATATCTCCTTCTCTGTGTGTGCCGGTCTCGCCACCGCAATCGCGTTATACCTCTGCCTCTATCTCCGCCTCTCGTTCTCTCTCTCTCTCTCTCTCTCTCTCTCTCTCTCTGTCTTTCTCTCTCTATCTTTCTGTCTCGCTCTCTCTCTGTCTCTCTTTCTGCTTCTCTCTCTGTCTCTTTCTCTCTCTCTCTCTCTCTCTCTCTCTCTCTCTCTCTCTCTCTCTCTCTCTCTTTGATGCACGTTCTCTCTTGGCCAAGTAATAGGACTACCACCAGCAAGAAGCACGGATATCCATGAGCTTCTCGACCCGTTTCTACCAACACCCCCTTCCTATCTCTTTCTCTCTCTCTCTCTCTCTCTCTCTTTCTCTAACACATTAACACCCTCTCTTCCCTCTTTCTCTTTCCATTCCAGCCGGCCAAGCGCGCACGGAATCCCTCGGGCTGTTGTGTTCTCTCCTTTGTTTATCGTTGCAAACGATGCGCTTGCCTTGCCAGCTCGTGGTAGAAAGAGAAAGAGTAACAGAGAGAAAGAAAGAGAGAGAAAGAGAGAGAAAGAGAGAGAGAAACAAACGAGAACACCACGAGAAAGATAGAGAAAGATAGAATACATTCGTATTCT